ACCTCTGTCTTGTGCTATAATAACTATGATTCATACTATGCTCCTACATTCATATTCACATGATGTCAGTAATTAGCTAGAAATATGTTTTATTTCATTACCAAACACCTGTTTTCATGTCCTGATTTGCCTTGATTAAATGTCTAGTTTGCGTTAGTACTTGCATGTGCTTTCTCTCTTTCCTACTTCTAAGCTGGGCCATTCTGAAGGATGCACAGTAGTCTTCCTGCTATTCTGCCCTTAAGCAATGGAGTTACAATATAATTTCAGGAATAGCTTGAAAAGCTGGACATCCCCTGTTTAATTTGGAGAGCAGCTGGGTTAAAAAGAATTTTCCCAAAGTGCCACATACTTCTAGTCAGTGTTTCCAGGTATTTCCTGGGCGCAAGCAACCAGTATAGGGTGCCATTAACATTCTCCTTGGATTGAAATAATAGCAAAACCTGGTTTGATTTGTATAAAGTAACCCCAAATTCATGGCTGAATTAGAGAAAATTGAGATCTTACAAGGATAAGTTGGTCCTTATCGGTAACAATAGAATTCATATCATTGATGGGGGTGTTTGTAGGCTCTTTAGTTCACACACACACACATCTGTGCAAGAAATCCAGTGCTAAGGCAGATGTCTATTCACCCTTCCCTTGAAACCTCCAGGAAGGGAGAGCCCATCAACTCCCTTGCTGATGGGTTCTATTGTTGAATTGCCGCAGCACAGCCTGTCTGCATCAAAAACTTAATTTTTGCTTTGAAGGAAGAAAGGGCAGCATGGAAATAATGCCCTTTGTGATGCTACACTTGCAGACTGGTTGGGACATGCCATCCTAAGTGTATAAATGCAGGAGCAGCCAGTTTTAGGTTGTGATGGAGAAATAATATGACCAATACAAATTGTCTATGGGAGGAGAAGTTTCTGTTGATGCAAGCTGATCCTGCTGAACTCAGAGAATGCAAGGAACAAGGTATATTTATGCAAGTATCTCTGCCATTCTTGCTAACTTGAGTAATCAATTCATTTTATAGATTTACTGAAATATTTGTTTGAAAATGAGAATGGGTTATCTGGCCATCTATCTTTTATTTTTTAGGCCTGGAATGGGTTTAAATAAAGCAGGCTTCTTCATTAATATTAATAATGATGACGATAATAATAGTCAAGAACAAAGACAGAATTGGCTTACATTTGCCCTCATGGCACTTTACTTTTGAGTTAACTTGTAGCCCAGTTTCATTGCTGGAAGCCTACACAAGAGTTGTAGTGGATCAGGTCAATAGCCCATCTACATTGAAGGCAGCAATTGCCCAGTAATTGGGACTCTGAGGCACACCAACTCTGAACATGGAGGTTTCCTTTAGACGACATGGCTAATAGCCTCTGAGAAGGTCTGTCACCTGTCAATATGTCTCATTCCTCATGGAGAGTTCACATAACCTTCACTGTGCATGTACCTAATGTGCAGGCAGAAGGATTCCTGGGACTGCACAAACTAGGACCACCCACCACCACTGAAACCATGTGTTTCTCCCGTCTTCATTCCTAAAAATGCCCAACAGACATTTGTGAAAAGGAGTTATCCACACATTCAGATCTGTGCATGGGGAACCCCTACACACACAAGAAAGTGCCTTGATCTGTGGGCATGAATTCTCCTTAAATTTTGAACTCTTGGTCTGTGCATGCATATGTGTAGAAAACGTAATAGCCATGAATTATTCAAAGTAAGAGGAGTGGGTGTGCAGTTCCAAAGGTACAAGGAATCATCCTTTACAGACTTCCACGCATCTTTTTTTTCAATACTTAGAGGAGGTTGTATGTACCTTTTTGAAGTCAGCAGTCTTTGACTCAGTAGAGAGAGTTCCAAATTCACATTCCAGTTTTGCCTCATTATTCATACTTTAAGAAATCTGTCATATTTCCTCTTCATTTATTTTGTTTATCTAAATGTCCCCAATTACTGTAGCTTTTTCTTGTGGAGAAGGTGCTCTAACCCCTAAGTAATTTTGGCAGCTTTCTTCGGTACCTTATTCCAGCTCTGTGAATCAGTATTCGAGATGCAGAAGAAGCTATGGCTAAGTGAGAGCATAAATGCACACATGCAGAAGGCCATGTTCAATCCTGCCTGAAACCCCAGAGAGCCATTGCCAGTCATTGTCTGCAATACTGGGGCTAAATGAACCAAAGCTTGTCCTATTGGGGATCAGAACTATATGTAATCTGCTTGCTTATAGGATGTGTACTCTGGCTTATCACATGGAACCTCAAATCAGCTTATAGTACAAAGTGAAAATGTAGTAGATGAAATTAAACGTGGATCAAGCATGAGGTGGTGAGAATGGAGTTGAACAAAAAGCAGTTGTTAAAAGCAGTTAAAATGTCAAGTCAGCAAAGGCAATAAATGAGACATGAATATTAAAGACAAAGGGAACAGGATGGCTTTCATATGGTACTTAAGTGGCAGTAGGGAAGGCACCAGACACATATATCTAAAAGGAAGTTGAAAAATGTAGGCACCATACTGAAAATGGCCATCCTCCAGCAGAGAGGTGTCATCTAAAGAAGAGCCTCTGAAGAACTTAACTGGTGTATGTTCAGGTGGAATAATGCATTAGTTTAATTACCCAAGTCCCAAGTAGAACTATAACCAGTACTCTAAATGTGGCTGTACTATATATTTATGATAAAGTCATCAGCTTTTTAAAATTTCTTTGTTAATGAAATAGGCCCACCCCCTACTACGCATGGAAAGCTGAGACTTTTACTGAGCTATCAGCAATGGGTTCAAGGTCTCTTTCCTGGATGGTCCCAGCTATTCCATTTGTATATGTAGGATTTTCCATCGTAATGCTTATTAATTTACATTTTGTTTCAGTTTTCTGTTTGGTTCAGCCTTCCCCAATTTGATGCCTTCCAGAAGTTTTGGATTGCAACTCTGGCTGGGTCTTATGAGAATTGAAGTTAAAAGTAATTTGAAGGGTACCACATTGGGGAAGGCTGGCTCAGAGTATATCCCAAATGTTATATGCTCTCTGAAGAATCATTTGCACCCGATTTTTAGCAGCATGAGACAACTAAGCAAGCAAAAAATAAATTGGAAGTGGTTAGTGCCATGCCTTTATCTTAAACTGCTTTTGAACATGAGATTATAGATAGTAAATATTTCTAAGTGTAGTTCCCTGTTAGAAAATGAGAAACAGTGCTTTTGAATTCTTCTTTTTAAATGCTTCCTTCTTGCCAGGACTTGGGTCTTAGGGTCAAAGGCAGAAGCTGTCTTCGCAATGGTACAACAGCCACACGGCCTCATAGCTGGGTGCTCCTGCCACCTTTTCATAATAAGCACTAGCAAAAAGTGCAGTTGACACTGCTGTATCACACTTGTCTTTTCTTTTATCAGGGAATTCAAATACTGCAGGGAATAACATGGTCTGCTTTGGCACCTGGGTTGCATGTGGCACTGTTACTTCAGCGACCAAAGTTGCAAAGAATCCTGCTTTTTTAGGTGGTGGTTTGGGTGTGCAAGCAAAAAAGTGGGAAAGTTACAAGGCAGGCTGTGTGCAACCAGCGTCACTTGTACTGAGTGATCCTGGCCATGTTTGAGAACATCATTTCTAAAGGAAATCTAATACTGAACCATGAAACTTCACGCAACTTTGCAGATTGCCAGCAGGAAAGAAATTATGTTGGAAGCCCTTGTTTTCAAAGAACATGTAACTGAGCTTGAAGTCAGGTGACCTGGCAACTCAGAAGCTTGAGCAAGATCACTCATAGTGGGACTTCTGCCTAGACCTGGAGAAATCTAAGGCAGTAAAAGATTCTGGTCTTTCTGAATAAATCTCAAACAACTGTGCTAAAATATCTCAGAGCAGTAGGGGACAAATGGAAAAGTCTAACCTGATCAATGGTGATTGCTAAGGTTATGATCAAAATTGCCCCCTCTTGGTGCTAGCTATGTTGAAAAATCAGCTTGACTGTTCTAAAATTAGATGCAGAACACAGAGGCACAGGCTGGTTCTTACACTGAAGTGTTGCTAGGAGAATCCATCTCTCTCTCTCTCTGCATTATGTACTGATATGATTCATTGCTGGGATTAAGAATGGGTATTGTCAAGGCCAGGGTTAAAGGTAGTTATGACTGTGCACCTGCCAAGGCCGCACAGCCCAACAGGGACCTAATGACAAGCACCACCCGGCTTACTCCTCCTCTTCATCACTGCAACCTGATGAGCCTCACAATGATGAGGAAGAGGGCAAGGAGCAATAGCAGCTGATGAAAATGAGGGTGACATGTTAGATTCAGTGAGGGTGGAGGCAGTGAGGGTGACTGGTGCAGAGTCTGTCAGAAACATGGAGCTAGCTGTGAGCAAAGAGGCCTCATTGTGCTGAATTGGGCTGCTGGAGATCAGCTTTTAAAATCTCTGAAAGATGTCTGACTTCTTTAGGAAATACACAAATGGTATTAGGAAATACCGTTTGTGCTGTCCCTTTTAATATTCCATCCTGCTGCAAGTGCCGCCCAGTCTGTAGTTCTTACTTCTCTGGTTTTCTTGGCCAAAAAACTACTTAAAACAGTTCCTGGGTGGAGATTAAAGACAATGAATGAGGATTGTTTTGGAATGCTTTCCAGCAAGATAAGGAACATATTAAATTGCCACAGGATATTCACCTGGCTGGGTAGGGCACTGGAGCTTTGCTTCAAGTGATACATTTTTAATCAGTTGCTCTTATCTCTGTCCCTACCTTTTGTAAATGCTGTTAGGGGCACTGGCGAGCCCGAAGCAGGCTTACTTCTCCCCGAGTTGCATCATGGTGCAACGCAGCTGAGATGCTTTCAATTCTGTGTTAACAGCCCACTGCGAAGTCTGAGAAATCTTGCAAGAGGAAGTGGCTCAACTGTGTTCAACAGAAAGCAAGCAGGAAGGGGTGCAGAGAGGAGGAGAAAGGAGGAGGAGGGAGGTGATGCTGTTCTCACAACTGGCTTCAGTGAGCTCCTGGATAGGAGAATCAAGCCACAGATGGCGAATCATTTGTGAACCAGGAGCAGAAGAAAACTCCCTTGGGGTCTGTCACCCCTTTGGTCAGTGCTTATCCAGCAAAGGGAATACGGCTGGTAGCTGAGTGAGGAAAGGTTGTCCCTGGCAAGGTTTGCTCTGTTTTAATTTTTTTAAAGGAGACGTCACTGGATTTGCTGATCAGCAGAAACTGTTGCAAAGCATGGCAAGTGGGAGCTGGAGGAGGTGAAATTGTGTGTGCTGCTGATTGCACAGGAACTGGATTGGGAAACAGTACTGCTGTTGTTGCTGCAGTGAGCTGAGAATCAGATGGTTACCTGCTCACTTGCTCACCGGAGGATTTCACGTGCTCTGAGGGTCCAGAATTGCTTCTTAGATGACTGTCGACAACAGCATGAGTAGTGGCTACTGTAGTTTGGATGACGACTCGGAGGACTGTTTTTTCACAGCCAAGACTACCTTCTTTAGGAGTCCCCAGAACAAATTTACTGCAAAGGTAAATGGGATGTAATGTGCTTAAGCTTGTATCTATCTGCATATCTATGGCTAGCTGTCAGAATTAGCTTTCTGATCGTTCCAATGAATGGGCAGTTTTCTCAGTTGCAGTCATTCTAAAGCTTATCCTTGTGTCATTTCCCTCTTTCAAATCTTGATCTATTTGATTTAAATTCATCCATGTGTTTGACTTTGACACCTGTTTGCTATTAGCTGAATGTCAGAGTTGCCTGACTTGAGTCCCTGTGCTTGTCCTTGGCATGTCATATTTTTGGACATCTAGTTTCTAAAAGATTGTGTGAAATTGGTTGCTAAAGTGCATGAAGGATACTGAACTGTATTGTTAGTACTCTTGAGTCTACTGATGTGCATATATATGCATTCTTTAACCAGACCTTTTAGCCTTGGAAGATTCTGCCCTGGTGTGGACAGATGTTCAGGGCCAAGGATTTATCATGAGTCAGAGGCCACTGGCTAATTTGCAAATGTGTGTATCATTAGGATCTGTATCACTGATAGGCGATATTCCACTGTTCTATTTATTCTTATTTGTTAACAGTAAAAAACTGGTATGTGGAAAAACCTGGTCTGTTTATTCAGTTTTACATAGGTTTAGGGTTATGAGATTCAATCAACATAAAATGAACCTTTTTGGTTATGATGTGTCATATATTTACAGTAACTATAAGAGCTAGGAATTAGCTTTTAGATGAATGAAGGGTCAGCAGGGTGGATTCATTTTAAAACAAGGATATTTAAATGACCACAAAAAGGAACAGTTTAAATCCAGCTTCCCATTTTGTAACCTACATATTTTCTGAAGAAATAACACACTAATTGGTTTACTATTACAGTTAAAAATAAGGTTTTCACTAATGTATATCCACTTGTAGACAAGGGATAGTTGAGAAATTAAAGGGTTTATCTGTACACATGAATTGAGAGAAGGAAGGAAGGATCACTCCCTTGAAAATGGAGTACCTAGAACTTTCCAGAACTAAAAGCTTACACTTACTGGGCAAAATAGTTCTTTTCCGTGAGAGTAAATCCTGCTAGTTTTCTGATATTCATGATTTTGAGAAATGAATCCATCGAATAGCTCAGATAATTAGAGAATTTCAGCTATTGGGTGGTATAAAAATGTAATACAGAAATCAATAAAGGACATTACAAGGAAGGCAAGATAACTGGGTTGATCTTATTGGTTGAGCCTGGTGAGAAAAGTGTCTCCTGGATTCTACCACCTATGATAATGTGTCAGTACCAGGGGTCACCTTCCAGGAAGAAATGCACCATAAATGCAGTACATGTTCTATTGCAGCTTTTTCCATCCTGGCTTCCTCCAGTTGTGTTGGACTACAAGTTCCATCATCTCCAACCCAGCATGATCATTTGTATATTTAGATATTTCTGTTTGTAATGCTTGACTTTTTTCTGCCACTGCTCATCACAGTATGTGTGTTTTTTAAAAGAAACACTGAAATTCTAACCTTTTTTGCAGGGGGAGGTGGGTGAATTGAAAATAAAAGTTCCATAAGTAAATTAGAAATCGTTGAAAAAACAGAAGTTAATATAACATTCTAAAAACAGTAGAATTAATATAACATAATACAAAATAATACACAGCACAGAATATATAAGAATGTAAAATCTACCATCTCTAAAACACTTGAGAACAAACTTAAATGCCTTAGGGAAGTTATTCCATAAATGGGATGCCAGAACTGAGAAGGCCAACTCTCTTATAGCCACTTACCTATCATCTTTTGGTAGAACATCCACAAGAGGATCTGCAAACTTGACTTAAGGACCAAGGAGGTACATATAGGAGGAGAGATTCTTTGGCATATTGAAGCAACGGAGGGTCATCCATTTCAGTATAAGAACTTCAACATGGGTATATTAAATATTTCATTTGAATAGATGAAATTGGCATATCTCATGCAAAAGGACATCTGGTAGAGCATTTCAATAGCGATGCCATATATGGGTGGATGGAAGGGTCACTTTTATCCATCTGAGCGGTGGCTCTCGGGGTCGTAGAAGAGGCCCCAGGCTGCATTGATCTGTCCTTTCTTGTATCCTTAGTATTGTATCTTTCCTAAAAGGGATGGTGTGCAGCTGTATCAAGACGAGCTAAGCATTGGATGGAGCCTTTGATTGCATTTTATATGTATCAGTTTTTGTGTACAGTCCACCTATGATGCATAAAACCAGCTTTCCAGGCTATCAGAAACTGTACTGAAAGATCCTTGCTGCTACGACGGGTGTGTTTGTACATGTATGCACATACCCTGGAGATACTCCCACAGGCATCTGTTGGATGGAGTCCATGAAAGGAAGCACAATTCTTTTTCTCCATCCCAGGGCTTATCCACCCGAGTGCACATGTTGCTGCTTAAAAATGGAGGAAAGAATAGAAGGCTGCACACTTGCACACAGCCGCTCCCTCCTCTGCTTCATGAATATTTCTTACCTTTGTCAGGTGTCCTTTTTTCTGTGTACAAGGTGTGCACCCACTCTTCCAGTACTTTAAGAAGCATTTCCGGATTTATTTGCTTCTTCAAAGTTAAGGGAACTGGTCCTCTATCTTCAGTAACTGTTTCCCCCTGAAATGAAGCTGGCTTCCTCCATTATGCCCCTTTACCAAAGCACAGAAGCTTCGGGGGTTGAGGCCCCTGAAGCAGTCAAGTGGAAGTCGCTCTCACACAGAGACTTTGGTTTAACAACTACTGACATTTCTTAAAAGAGTAGAGGGAAGTCTAGTTTCACACAGGAAAAGAGCCCTAAACTTTCAATGGTTTAATCTGTGTAAAATGAACATGTGGTAAAGCTTGAGCTCATGACTGCTTTTAGCTCAAGAGAAGGAAGTGATATCAATGGTCTATTTCTTGATTCAGTGGAGAAATGTGTATAAGTTGTGTTCTGTGCCCCTTTCATATCTCTGTGCCTAACTGGTAAACCTTAAAGCAGCAGTTTGCGGGGAGAGGGGGGATCCTGTTTTCTGAAATGCAGCAGAAAATTAAGACAAACATTTAACTCTGCAAACATCCTCCCACCCAGGGGTTTGGGACCAAACCATAATACAGTCTACAGCATCTTATGCTTCTTTCAACTTTTTCAATATTCCCTTTGGCTTAATTGTGGATGAGAAAAGAGTTTTGTTGGTTTAGCTTAGTTTAGTTTCATAATCTGTTTTATCTGTTGCCATATTTTTTATAAAAAGACTTACTGAGTCATGTCTGTAGGCGATATAAAATACAATGATTGTCTGTACATTTACATCACAGTGCAGTATGTGAAGAATGGCTGTGTAGAAACAGTCAGGCAAGATCAGTGAATTGGACTATATAGCCAAATATAGCCAAATCTCTTTCAAATGTTGGTTAGTACCAGATGCTTCAGAGGAGGGTGTAAGAAGACAGAAACAGATCACAATCAGCTATGTGGGATAATTTACCTCTGTATAAAAAATTCTGAAATCATTATTGATTTGGATTTAAGCCTGGAACTTCAGTATTGGTTTCTCTATTTTACTGGTAGCATTAACTATTTAACAACTGGTCTCTGCGTGTGTGTGCATGTGTGCGTGCGTGCATGCGTGTCTTTATCTGGAAAAGTCAAGTTTGTGGCAAGATTACAAGCTGACCATCCTTGTCATTTTACCCCCAAAACAAAAACAAAACAACCCCCTTCCCCCAAGTGGTTTGAGTTCAGACTGATAGAAGTGGACATGTACACCGAGGCTGATCCATCTTTGTGGCTAAAGTTAGACTGACCAAAGGGCAAGAATAGGGAATCATGAATCCTGTAGAAAAATGTGAGCTGTTTGATTGATTCTCCAACTGACACAAGGCAAAGATGCATATCTGTTTCTGTTTCACTGACTAGGTGAAACAGACTTGACTGTGTCTCACTTCTTCATCCACTTCCAACATACAATGACCTTGTATTTCTTGTTATGGGGAGGGGTGTTCCCCGACAAAAACTCAGGTTTTGCTACACAAACTAAACTTACCGTATTTTTCACTCTATAAGACGCACCTGACCATAAGATGCACCTAGTTTTTGGAGGAGGGATCCATGGAAATCTTCCTGATAATCACAGGCACATTCCCCATCACTTCCCCATGGGCTTCATTAAAAAGACGGGCTACCATTTGAAAACACACACCGACCTGTGATTAACAGCTCTCACCTGCGCCGGAGGAGGGGGATGGAGCAGGACGCACTGAGCGCATGCCAGCCAGGTGCCAGCGTGCAGGCGGTGGTCTTCCGGGTGGCTAGGCGACAGGTCTTCCCAGGCGGTGGGGGTGAGCAGTCCGTTTCTCCGTGCGGCCAGCGGGTTAAAGCCCGCGGCTCCTCCTCCTCCGCACCGCTCCCCCTGAGCAGAACAGCTCTCACCTGCGCCGGGGGGGGGGGGGGGGAGCAGCGCGCGCTGTGTGCGTGCCGGCCAGGTGGTACCACGTGGGGCTGGCAGTGTGCCGGTGGTGGACTTCAGGGTGGCACGGCAGGTCTTCCCAGGCGGTGGGGGTGAGCAGTTCCCGGGCGGTGGGGGTGAGCAGTCCGTCTCTCCGTGCGGCTGGTGGGCTAAAGCCCGCGGCTCCTCCTCCTCCGCACCACTCCCCCTGAGCGGCACAGCTCTCACCTGCGCTGGGGGGGGGACAGAGCAGGCGCGCCAAGCGCGTGCCGGCCAGGTGGTGCCACGTGGTGCAGGTGGGCCAGCAGCGTCCCGGGTGTCGGGCACACACACATTCGTTCTATAAGACGCACAGACATTTCCCCTTACTTTTGAGGGGGGAAAAAGTGTCTTATAGAGCGAAAAATATGGTAATTGTTAGCACCTTGAGAAAATATATATTGCATATAAAGCTTTTTAACACCTGGAAGCTTGCCATGAACAGCACATCTTAACTGCATATTTAAAAGTATGATCACCTAACAGCCCTATCCTACAGATAACATTTCTTGTGGTAGCAGTTTCGTAGGTCGGTTATACTT